GGAATTAATGGAATTAATTAATTAATTAAAGTGTTTAATTAATTATTAATTTTATTGGAGCTCGGGATTATAGGTCCATTAGTCCTCGCGTCGTCCTTGTAATTCTACCAGACACAAAGGGTAAAATGGGAATTTTAGAATTACGGAATTCTAAAATTAAATACTCAAAAATAATTAATTAAGAATTAATTATTATTTAAATAATGTGATTATTTAAATTTGACTTTGAATTGTGAACATAATTTAAATTTATCCTTTTAAAACTTATTTGATAAGTTGTTCAATTTAGAATTCAAATTAATTTAAGTTTGACTTAAATTTGAATTTGAATTTGAGTCAAAATTAGACTGCATGATAAATGATGATTTTCTCTTCCTTCCCTGTATGATATTGGCGCCTACACAGGGATAAAATTCCCAATGAATGGCCGGCCATAATGGATAAAGGATAAGAGGATATTTTGTTTCAAATTCAAATAGGAGATAATTAACAAGCTTTATCTTAGAGATAGAGATTGGATTCCTTCTAGAAGTTTGAAAACAATTTTGAAAACAATATTTGATAGAAAATTGTGGACACAATTTTTGAAAACAACTTTTGAACTAATTTTTAAAGGGTGGCCGAAATTCTCCATAGAGTGAGAGGAAAAATATTTTTCTCTAAAAAATTCCACATCATGCATGCGTTGGTGTTTGTGGAAATTCGAGTGTTTATTCTAACCCGTTTTGTCTCAGGTGTGCCCACACACACATTTTCGTGGATTCTAGGAATTGACGTGGAAGACAATGGTTTTCTAAACACAAGTCTTTGGAGCAAGGATTGTTCGAGGTCAAAGAACTCAAGTTATCATCCTAATCGGCCGTCAGGTATTATTCATAATTGAGTTCTTAATAAATGAATTAATGTGATTAATTTATTCATGCATAAATTAATATAATCTATAGAGTATCTCAAAGGTTTTATGAAAATTTTTGTTATACTTGATCTGCTATCCCCACGCTTCCGCATCCGAATTCGATTCAGAAACCAACATGAATATGGGCGGTAACGGACATACTGTTCGTCGCGTATCATATGCCTACTTCCAGTCATAGTTCTTTTCTCAGGCTCGATTCCAACATATTTACGCAATAAAAGCAAGTTATTGTTGTCTTCCCAACCAAAATAAAAATAAGAAAAGTGTTCAGCTAACCATCCGATGACATAGTGCATTGAAAGAAAAACACGGCTAACACGGAATCTATTTGTACCTGCGGCATACTCATTAAATGCACGATAAATGTATCCCAAAACTGTGGGGGTAGGTGATACTTTCTTGCCTTGAGCCTTCAAATAGGCCATATAAAAAGTTTATGGCCTTATGTTGCCACTTTTGGTAGGAAGGACGAAATGATTTAACCATAATGATAGGAATACAGAGAGCATACGAACTTCTGAAACCTACAAAGGAAGTTGTCTTAATTGGATTTTTCGAGGCTTCTTATGGAAATCTTTAAAATGGGAATCTTGAGCCTGTTTAGTTTTCAAACTGACAAACATATGTTCTCCTCTATAAAAATATTCAGTCCATTGATTCCAACATACAAATTGAGTTTTCAAAACATTGCATATACAGGAATGGATCCTTAAAAGTTCTACTATGCAAGGATGATATAAAGAAGTGTTCAACAACTTCTTATTTGTTGGGATGAATTCTTCATACAGGATTCCTAAAATAGGCAAACCTCTGATGGTTTTAAAATCGTATAATGAGATTCCCATTTTAGGGATCATATAAATAATTTTAATAAGTGCATAACTCAATTATTAAGTATAGAGGTCAAAATTGATGAGGAAGATAAAGCAATAATTTTGTTGGCCTCCCTACCTAAATCATATGAGACTTTGGTGACTAGACTGTTAGTTGGAAAAATGACGTTGGCTGTGGATAAGGTTTCGACTGCTCTATTAGAGACTGCAAATATAAAAAAGCCAAATAATACTCCTCATACTAAACAAGTTTTAGTGGCTCTGTCATATTCAAATAGAGGTAGGAGTAAGTCACGAGAGAGATGTTATGATAAAAGAGATGATCGTTCCTAATCCTGACCAAGGAATGATATTGAGTGCTATTATTGTCATAAGAAGGAGCATATTAGGAGAAGCTGTGAAGAACTGACAAAACACCTTGAAGAAAAGAGAAATCAAGAAACCCAAAAGACTTCATATTTTGTAAATGTGGTTGGCGACAAGTATGATAGTGAAAATGATGTTTATTCTATTATTCTTGATGAAAATATTTCTAACTCTTGGATCTTAAATTATGGATGCTCGTTTCATATGTGTCCATATAAGAAGTGATTTGATTCTTATAAGTCTTGTGATGCTAGTACTTTATTAATGGCTAATGATTCTAGTGCTAAAGCTGTTGGAATATGTACTGTTAAGGTGAAGATGTTTGATGGTGTTGTGAGGAAATTGACAAATGTTAGACATGTTCCTCAACTAAAAAGAAGTTTGATTTATTTGGGAGCTTTAGACACTTTGGGTTGTGAGTATTATACGAATGGTGGTTTTATGCAAGTCAAGAGAGTTGATTTAGTAGCCATGAATGGTGAAAAAGTGAAAACTTGTAAAAACTGATTGACAGTTGTAGGTGGAGCAATGAAGGTGGAGTCAAGCCAAAAAGAATCTTCTTCTATTGTTAAAGAAGTTGCAGGAGTAAAAGAGTGCAACAAGATAATAACAGTTGAAGATTATAAAGACAAGATGGTGAATGCTTACGGCTATGAAGATGCTTTAAAGAAGAAGAAGTCAATTCATCGTGTCAAGTTTGATGAGAGTTTGAACTTGACAAATGTTTATTCTTGTTGAAGTTTGCATTATTGTCACCCTATCCATGAGGGGTGCAACGACGGGTGTCAAGATTAGATACCCAATTGTGTGAGTTGAGAGAATTTGAGTCAATATAAAGATTGTTAGATAAGTGACTCAAATTAGTTTTGAAAAAGTTATTATTTTATATTTTTTGAGTAAGTTATTATTTTCTATTTTTGGGCAAGGATTATTAAGAGTTTATATATAAGTGCTTTGTGTAAAACTTTATGGGTGCTCAGAGAAAAATTTCAAAGAAAGAGTGCCTCCTTTTGAGAAAAAGAGAGAAAAGTGAGAAGAGAGATAGGCAAATGGTGTAGGGAATTTTTGGTTGAGAGAGAAAGTGAGAAAGTTTATTGAGTGTAATTCTGAAATTATTGATAAATTTTTCTTCCTTTCCCATAGATATAAGAAATTTTTTCAAACTATTTAAATATTTATCTTCTCTGTTTTTCTATTATTTTTGTTTCAGTTTATTTTTCTCTTCCGCAGAAGTGTGTTTTCCCCCAACAACATAGTAATCAAAAGTTGGAGTATTTTCTATATTTTCTTCTCTTTATCAATCACATACTTATGGATGCTTTCAAAATCAAGTGTTCAGTGATAAGTCAGAGAGAATTTTGAATAAAAAGTTTTCTACTATATTTCCTTCAAGGTACATAGCACAGATATGTATACAAACCAATGATTTTGGGTAACCATTGATACGGAGCTATCTTTGACAAGAAAATAAAAAATCCCATAACAATTGGAATATACACGGCTATGATAATTACAAACAAGTCAACTACCGTTTCTAAAATCTCTCAATCTAAGAGGTTGTTTGGTTGGGGGATTCATCTTCTTATTCGAATCATGGTTCGTGATTCGCTACAATATTTTCTCTCATAAAAAATACACGTAAATCAAAAATAGTTCTAATCAGGTCAAAGATTTTTTTTATTATTATTTTCAAATTAACTTATCAGAATTTAGTTTGTCAACTCAAAGAGAATGATATCGAAAAGATTATATCTATCGGAATAGATGATATATTTAGTAGTTAATTTTGAATTAGAATATATTTAAAATTAGATTAAGTTTATCTTAGATTTTTTTAATAACAATTGTAATGTCATTACAAAGTTTGTAATTGATTAATGAATTATGAATGTTGGGTTTCTAGTTTTCTTCTCTCGAGTTTTGCTCTAAATTCTATTGTCCTATTCATTTCACCGATTCGAGTTTTGTTACAATAAAAAGCTTTTAGAAACAGTCACATCTAATTTTTTTACTACAGTAAAAAACTCACTTAAAATCACATCTCAACTCAAATTAAAAACTCGAATCAGCGAATTAAACAGGCCTTATATTTTTCCTTTATGATTGTATCTCTATCTTTTATTCGGCTTTTTGAATCTCTCTTTTGTATTTAATTTATTTTACTCTTTATGGACCTATCTCCGACCTGCATCACATACTATTAATAAGAGAAAAAACTAAAAATACTACTAGTAAAAAAATATTATTAATGTCATTCCATTTAAAAATAATTAATTAATTATCATTTGATTAATAAAAAAATTAAAAATTATAATAACACTTAATTATTTAAAATAATATAAATAATACATCCGATAGTTTTTTTATTATAATAATGGCTCTTGTATGATACCCGGTGACTTACGAGTAGACACCTACACGTGATCTGGTGTATTGAAATCCGATTTGGAAGCAATTGTGGTGACAAGAGCGGCTTTTTCGCTATGTCTTGTCAAACCACTAGATAATGGCTTTTTGCAAATTATCTTGTTTCCTCTGTGCATAACAACACTTGATGTACACAATTTTATTTCATAATTAGACAAATTACCAGTGTTATCCATTTTATGTTCACTTATTCCACGTACATATTATTATTGTCCAAGACAATAGTAATTATCTAAATATCTCATTTTTAAATAACCGAGCAATCTTAATTATAAATATAGCAAAAACAAAAAATGTAGTTCTTTTTTTTTTTTTTCATTGATCAGTTTTGCCTCTTTAGCAAAACTTAAATTATAACTACATTGAGTTTCATCAAAAGGACACATACAAGTTACAACAAAGGAAAATTAATAGATCATCAATAAAAATTAGATTAAATGCGAGAAGCTAGGGTTCTTCTTCTGATCAACAATTTATTATCATAAAGTTATCATGAAGATTTGACCGATCACGTCCTTAAATTGTCAATCAAGGAATCCACTTGGGATCCCTAGGGCTGAAGAAACAAGCCTTGACGTTAGAATCAAGAAGCTTAAGCACCGTATCCGACTTGATACACCTTGGAGTCTTGTACTGATTAATGGAGCCCCCTTGGCTTATGCACAAGTCCATGAGCACCTCAAACGTCCCTGGCTTCACCACACGGATCTCCAGCGGCCCCACCGACTTGTCGTTGGTCCGGCAACGCCGGTAGATGTAGTCGAGCTCCTCCTCGACGGCGATGCAACACTCTTCGAGCACGTGACTAGCGTCGTTTAGCCAAAGTAGCTGTGAAAATGGTGATGGTGGGCCGTGGTGGAGGAGTTCCCAGTAGAGGACGTAGTGTCCAGGGACGCGGGAGGTATCGGCGTAGCTGGTGTACTCGACGAGGAGGGCATTGTGGGGTTCGAGAAGCTTCTTGGCGGCGGAGACGCTCTTGTGGAGGTCCTCCTCGTTGGTCTTGTCGTTGTCGATGCTGAGGAGGACGTTTCTTCTGCAGATGAAGCGGAATTGTGGCGCTTTGTTGTGAAAACTCATCACTTGTAGCACGTCCCCAATTCGATACCGGTTTAGACCTGTGCGTTTGATGATCACAATTAATCGGATTTAGTACTTAATTAGTGAAATCACTACTTTGTTGTAAAGCTCATAACCGTTGATTGCCTAGACGAGTTAATTTTAAATACTATTGAATTAAATAGTTTTCTTTTTCGGGGATAGTTATAGATATGTACTTGTTATCATACCAAATTTTAAGGAATAATGCACAGGAAAAAAAAAAAAAATCGGGTATTTTATGCTATAAAAAAAATTCTGTTTTTATGTGACTTGTAAAACATAATGGACTTGAAAATTTTTGAAAGATAGAGATTGTATTTCGAAAAAAAAACAGGGTAGATATGCTTAACTATCTTGTACACTAACTAAAAGACTATTATTATTATTATTAATTTTTAAATAACAATACCAAATTATCCGTACTCTCTAGACCACAATGTGGGCCCCACATGAAAATATTGTGTAACAAAAAGCTGATATCTAACTTTAACCTCAACATTGCTAAGGTGCTGTAATATGTATGTTTGGATAACCTTTCAAATTAGGTTCGTACTAAAAAAAACATTCAAATATTAGACAACGGGCATATATAATAATTAAAATATACTTTTTGAGAAAAGCCGTCTAGCATACAAAAGCGTTAAGAGATACAATCTCCCCCACCACTTTTTGTCAAGAGAAATAAACTGTACCGACAGTACTTAATTAAAAAAAATTTAATCAACTGTATAACTTATAATTAAGAACATAATATACGTATACATATGTGTGTGTGTGTGTGATATATATATATATATATATATAGAGAGAGAGAGAGAGAGAGAGAGAGAATTTAATTACTGACCGGCAAAGGTGGTGACGACCAATTCATAATAACAGCCACGCCTGACATGAACCAAATCAACAAGCTTATCAACAGGCACCTCCTCCTCCTCAGCAATGTCCATCAAAAGCGTCCCATTCTCTCCCAAAGGTATGAACTCAAAGTAACACATATTCGGCAAAAGGGTGAACGCCACGTCAGCAGGGTCACACAAGGGCTTCAAGTTAACCCCAAAGTAACACTCTGACGAAGCATACATTGTACACACCAACGGCAGTTTCCCTTCACTGTAGTACTCCAAAGCCGGTATGTACTGAGCCATTGACCCGGTTATGACCGCCTCTATGTACTTTGCCCTTGGCCAAAGCCTGCATAAGATGCCCTTCCACGATGAGCGACAGCAAATCTCCTCGATCTCGTCGGCCAAACACGGGTCGGGGAAAGAAACGACGCTGGACATGGCTAAACGACACTCGTGGTCGGTTATGATGGAGGGGTCGAGTTGCCCCGTCCGGATGTCGTTGCATAGGCTGGCCCAGTTGCGCTCCAGGAAGGAGATCGCGCGGAGGAGAGCGGAGGCAAAGACTGCGCCGAGGCGGAGGACTTGGTGACGGTGGACGAGACCCGCCAGGAGCTGGCAGTACATGCTTTGGTTGCTGTCGTAGCAGAGGATCGCTTGGTCCGGGCTTGTGTAGCTGTTGAAGGCGTCCTGGGCTCGGCACTTGAAGTGCTTGCTCTTGTAGTAGCTGGTCAGGACGGCTCGGGCCGGTAAGCCGCATGGCGTCGACATCTCGGCCTTGACAAAGTAGAGGAACATTGCCTTGCCCTCATCGAGTCCAGGGACATACCTATAAGGTTGACAATCAGAAATTGTCATGAAAAATCATATCACAACATATAAGAAATTTTGATTAGTTGTCTAAATTTTGGTGTCTAACCAACCATTGAGCAGAGACACTCAAATTTCAAATTTAAAAAACATTTCAAATTTCAAATGACACGACATAATTTTATTGAGCAGAGAGGCTATTTGAAACATCAAGATTGAATAGGAAACCTGACTTTTATAGTAGTTAATGTGCATGAAGTATGAATTCTAGTAAGCAATCAAATTGATACAAAATTGTGTGAAATAGATAGGAGAAAAATAAATTAAATAAGTGAATAAGATAGAGAACAAAGTTTACTTTGTTAGATATATATGATAAGTCATGGGGATTTTGCAATTTGCATATAAGTCTAGTCAATTGTTAATTTGGGACTTAGAAAGTAGAATAAAAGAAAAAAAATTTAATGAGGTCCATTGGGGGGCGGGTACATTCATGCAACAAATCCAACGTGGAAATATCGGCAATACTTTTTGTTTTTATTCTTTTGATCTTTTGGTTTAGTGGCTTCCACATCAAAAATTAATGCACATTTCTATGTGTCGACGACATGATAGGAGGTTCTTTATTCACATTAATTCTGCGTTGGCTTCAAGTAGTACTATATGGTGTCCCATCTCCGGGCCCTGTTGAAGGTAAAGTAGATAAGAACCCAAAAATCAAGCTGGGATAAGATTTTAGCAAAACTTTTTGAGAAGCAAATGGGATCAGAATCACCTAGAAACGAAGTATCATGGTGTTATAGGCCAAAAAAAAAAAAAAAAAGAGGAGAAAGGATATATATATATATATATATATATATGTTGCATGCAAGCTCATCATCACTCTGGCCCCCACTTGGAAAATGACTATACACATGAAAAGCAAAACTTTGGTGCAAAAATTGGAGCAATTAGTACTGCATTTTGCACATTTCTCCTTCTAGTATAGGACTAATTATAATGAAACTTATGGCAGAAGATGGAGTACTATTTATGCATGCATGGACATGTTATATGGAGATCAAATGCATCTTGTAATTACTGGTTGATGATTGGCATGATGAGGTTATATAGAAAGGTTCGACGGTCGAGATCTTCGGCGATCGACGGCATCATCTTAGGCTCCCCAGCTGATGTCCCAGAGCTGAAAATGTCACAATATTGTAACCCAGCAATTAATTTACTTCATGATCAGATCATATACATGCAAAATATTTATAATATAATCTAGTATAAAGTACTATACTAGAGAGATGAATAGAAAACAGAAAGAACCTGCATAACATTTCAGTTATTGGGTGGCCAGTAATGAGGGAGGACTCTTCACCATTGCAAATTCTTTCAATATAAGGCTGAATATCCTTGTAAGTAATAACTGGGACACGCTTCTTAAACTGTGAAATATCTTTTGTTCCCTTGTCAATATACTTACTCAGATACTCAGTTTCGCAGTTTCTTGTCAAGATCTCTTTCAGAATTTCCTCCTGAACTTTATCAGCCTCTGATGTCAGCCTCTCAATCTCCTTCAAGGCCGCTTCACCTTTGTACTCCAGTTTCTTCCCATCCATATTCTTTGTTTAATTATGTACGATAATATTATAAGAAGGTACAAGGGAAGAAGAAAAGAATATTATTATCAGTTCTACTCAGATGGGCAATTCTGCTATGCTGAACAGTTTTTGGAAACCAGTGGGGGTCTTATATATAATGAGCTTGGCTATGTAACACATTGGTTTTGAATAGGAAAAAAAAAAAAAGGTTAAGTCTTCGTAGTTCCACACACATAATGCAACTAAGGAAGCAGTTGGTGCTGATGCCATACAAAATGCATGCGGGCCCCACCTAACTTTTTTCTTTTTTTTTTTCTTTTCTTTTTTTTTTAAATCCAATCCGGCTCAATAACCCCAACGCGTGATGAAATTCATCACCAATTATTTGTATGCTTGAAATATGTAATTGGTTAATAAGTTAAGTATTTTTAATTTATACAAATATATATATAATCCACAAATGTAGAAACAATCAACATGCCAGAAAATGAGGCCAAAAGTGCCTGCTATATGGCTTAGACTTATGTTGCACATATCACACACTGTTTATTTTCTTATAAATTTTCAGTAGAACTTTACTTATAGCCTACTTGTTTTTCTAGATTTGAATTACAATTCAAACATTTTTTTTATAATGTTTTTTTTTTTTTTTTACAAAAGTTAAAATTTCGGTTTATACCTATAAACTTAACTGGCCACAAAAGTTTCACATTAGGATAATTCACTTGGATCAAATTATAAGTCTGGAGGCGGAACACTTTTTTTTAGAATGAACCGTAAATTCAAGCATTCTGAGTTTAAACTCTACAAAAAGAATTCCTAATTAATTTTTTGACTAATAAAACTTATAGATTCTGGCGTTAATTTTTAAACAAAAGTTACATGTCGTTGGTCTGAGGAGATGATTTTGTATCATTTTGGAAACAGAGAAGATTGTACTTGGAAACTAAACCCCACATTTTGTCTTGGTTGTTTGTGATTAAATAGCATATCATTCATTCCCCTTCAAAAATGTACCAGGACAAGTGACGTACATATTCAAATACGTCATTGCTGATATATTTTATGGACGACAATTGAGATATCATAAGTATCTGGTTCTACATCATGGATTGTCCACACGTTAAAGAGCCTCCTTTTTTTCTCTTCCCCTTTCTTTTGACTCAATAAAAAGCATCAGAAAAGTTGAGAAAATCACTAACTTTGTAGACAGAAAGGTGACGTGCAAAACAAAACAGGAAAATAATAAATAAATAAGTAAATAACTCTAGCTTTCATTTCTTTATATGGTAAACTAAACCCTAGCGTTACAAGAAAAGATTACGCCAAGTATATAACAAACAAATTAAGTGATCATTTTTTCTGGCATCAAAAAGAGTCATCCCATTCATAATTGAAAAACCCCATTAGCTTAAAAAGTTATTCCCTAATGCCAAGTTTATGACTTTGGATTGGATTTCAAGGAAGTTCATTAGACTATATATATATATATATTATGTTGGTTAAAATTCAATGAATTGGATCAAAATGCTTAATTTGGGGGATTTCTGATCAACTTAAACCAAATTAGAGAATAGAGATTAATTGAACGGTGTCATATAGTCAACATCGATATTTTATTAAATACACATACAAATATAAATATAATATATATATATAGTAACTCTCAATGACGTTGGTGAAAGTTACGTCAAATTAATTAAATAATATTAATGTCCCTAACACACATGACAAATTTAGCAGGACAAGGATAGTTGAGGACGAAGATCTTTTTTCCACACAAGGGAGAATTTGGTGATAGTGCAGAGAAAAAGATAACTTTAACTAGACCTTGATTTCTTTCCATGTCAAGTTGGATCACATATCGCGTGCCATCACTAAAATCATGGTGTCCTCCATTACCTTCTTGGAAGGATTCTTTTCTGAAATCTGAATCATTTTCACTCTCTTTTCTCAGCTCGGCAAAAGCATATATAATAAAATCATGTACCCGTAAGTACTTCCAAAAACACAAATTCGTTCATGATCTTATCCACATCGAGAGTTTGATAGTGGTGAATAGGGTAACCATTTCGTCAGCAGCTAGAGTTGGAAAAAGCTTATTATAAGACGTGGATTCAATTTTTTGTAAATCCATCGTCAATCTTGTATTTAATACACACACACAGACACACATATATATATAGAAGTTGATTGTATTATATCGACATACTATATGCAACTTAATAGTGCATGCATATATATATATATAT